CTTTCCCTGTTTTGGGGCAGGAGGAGGAGAGAGGTGCCGCTTAGTAACTTTAGGTGATGGTATGTGTACTGGAGAAATTATAGTACCTGAGTTAAATTGTCCTGTAGGTTTTTTTAAAAAAACTTAGCAAGTTTATATTGTATACAGCGGAATCCATGTTACCCGTGAATGTGATTTATGAAGTATTAATGTAAACATCACTCTTCAGTTTAATATAAAGCTGTATCCTTTTGCCTATAGCATCTATCCTTGTATCCTTAGATAACTGATGTTGTCTCAGCATGCTATGATTATAGTCAATATTGAAATGAAATCCAGTAGATTTGGAATAAGCTGGCAAAAAAATGCCAAACGTTTACTGGTTTGTGAGCTTCTGTGTGGAGGAAAATGAGAAGGAGCAATAGCAGATCTCTGCTTAGGCAAAGGTGCTCAGCTCCATCATAGACAGGATCTGGAACTTGTCTCGAGAATAAAAGGGAGCTGGCATTTTCTTCCCAGATCTGCTTTTTTTTTTTTTTTTGTTCTTCCTCAAGTATAATACCTTACCCCTAGGCTATGGGAAAAGGAAAGTTTAGGCACTTCAGGGGGTTTTCAGTGCCCCTGCATACGCTTTCCTCTTCACATGACTGCGCTCTCCAGCTTGTATGATTACAGGAGACAAACACGTAGGCCTCTGCTTAGGCAAAAGTGGAAGATCGATGCTCAGCCGTCTGTTTATGTAGTAGTGTCCGCATGAGATTCGCTCTGTGTTAGTAGCCCATTTGCTTTTGCTCAAGTTTTCCGTTTATGGGTTTTTTTCCCTCATGTTTAACAGCCTTCTCTTTTGGTTTTAGTGGGTAGGAGCTAAGCAGCATGAGTTGCAGGTAAACTCTATGCAGTTGCTGTACTATCAGGCACCAATGTCCTCGGCTATGTTGTTGTTCATCGTACCCTTCTTCGAGCCAGTCTTTGGAGAAGGGGGAATATTTGGGCCCTGGACGCTTTCTGCTGTGGTAAGGATTTTATTGACTTTATTTAAATAAATAGTCATCTTTGATGTAGTTAAATTTGATACTAAGATCTGTTTCTTTGTGAAGAACAGTCAGTTGACTATGATGAGGTGAGAGGGGCATGTGCAAGAGAAGAAAACTTCTTGTGTCTGCCCCACTTCCTCCCAGAGGAGTCTATCAATTGATTCACCTCCTTTTTCTTGTTTCTGTTTAGAGGGCATCTGAACAATAGGAAAATCTGACAAAATCCAGAAGCTTCCCCTAATGTATTAAATTAAAAATATGTAAGTGCCCTAGTTCCAGCTCTTACTGTCCACTCGGACAAGAGATAAGCATGCTCGCTTTTGACACTCTCAACTCCTCTTCTGTGGAAGGATGCCAATATTTGCCATTCTCTAGAATTTCTAGTTTATTTTCACCAAGGCAGCTATAATTTCTCTCTTTATCCTTCTGTCCAAAAAAGAGCCAGTGGCATGTTCTCACCACTGCTGATCATGCCACTCAGTGACGGGTCATTTCTCGTAATGCTGCGGTTTATGAATGGAATAGCAAGTATTCACAATAATAAAATCAGATATTTTTCCAAAACAGTGGGTTTTTTGCATGACCACAAATAAGACTTTGTCTCAAAGGTAAAGAACACAACTTCTATGCGTATGAGTAGCAAGATTTTCCAAATTACTCTTAAACGTTCACTGAGAGTAAAGAAGAAAAGGCTTGTGGTTATACCAGTATATATTTATGGACATCATACCCTGAGCTGCTTACATCACCAATGTCTGTACTGATTTGAAGTACTGATTTTGTTCTCCCTATGTTTTTCTTGCCTGATACTTTGCATTTGAAAGTAAAGGAAACTAGCTAAATAACCTGGAATGTCTCTACAAATGGCCGAGCGCGTGTCACGTTACTGACTGTGTCCATCAATCCACAGATAATGGTACTGCTGTCTGGTATAATAGCCTTTATGGTAAACTTGTCCATTTACTGGATCATTGGAAATACGTCGCCTGTCACGTATCCTTTGTAACATGCGTTGTTTCTCTGGTTTCCAGATGAATTATGTTAGCATTCATTTGGGCTGATTTACTGTGAGAAAATTGTTTGGTAACCGGCCTGCTTTGTCTTAAATGATGAAGCTGGAAAAGCACATTCATGTTTCAGTGCATTTTGTTTCTTAGTTTGTGGTTTGTATAGATACGGCGTTTAACTTACTGACGTGACCTTCATACCTACAAAGAGTGTTTACCCACACGTTGGCTACCTTGAGGAAGTGTTGGCGTGTCAGTTAGTTTGTAGCGTATGGTGGGTGAAAAGCTTTACGTGGAGGTTAATTCTCGTAGCCGCAGAGATGCGGGAAAGTTGCATGAGTTGAAGTCAATGTGACATAGCTTTGCATGCTTTGGATGTGATTAATGAAGTTCCCAGGTGTTTCTTTTTACAAAAAATAATACTGATATTTGCTGTTATCCTTAACAGATGTCTAGGTATAACATGTTTGGACATTTCAAGTTCTGCATCACCCTCCTGGGAGGGTGCCTGTTATTTAAGGATCCACTGTCTGTTAATCAAGGCCTTGGGATTCTGTGCACATTGTTGGGTATTTTAGCTTACACCCACTTCAAGCTTAGTGAGCAGGAAAGCAGTAAGAGTAAATTGGTTCAGCGTCCATAAAGCCAGGGTTTCTGGAGATTAATAATATTGTGAAGGAAAACAAGTATTTAAATATGCATTGATTGTAGAATGCACAAAATTGCCTCATTCATTTAGACCTACGGTTTTAGTTTAACCGCCAGGATCGTTATTCTGTAACTAAACCAAACAAACTGAATTTATGTAAAATGCTGGGGGTTTGCCATCTCAGTCCATCCTATCGTTTTCATTCAATTTAAATGGTAACTTAAAAGAGAAAATGGCACACTTCAAATAGCTGTGGAAATTGTACGGAAGTAATTATATTTCTTGCATACCAAATGAGATCATGATGGCGACAGTTCTAATACAGAGAGAGAAAGAAGAGGAATTCTGTCTTTGTGATCATGCCAGTATTATTGTTGTGAAGAAACTTGAAGGCATTTTTATGCAGATGTCCTGGTATGTAGTGATGCTTCCTCCTTTTTATCTGGTGAACAATGAAGAGGAAATATACTTTGTTCAGTAGTTTTGAAAAGGGCCGCTAAGCTCATTCCTATTTCTTCTACGCTTTCTTATGTATGTTATGTATGTATGTGTTCAACACGTTGATAAATGTGGGCTGGAGAAAGTAGATAAAATTACAGGTGGAGAGAGACTAGAGGAAACATTGGAAAACTTGAAGCCACAGGCCAAGCTATTCAAAAGTAGGAAATCAGATCTAAGTGGTTCATCTTAAATTTTTCTTTTGGTCCGTCAGGACATTAATGAAGTCATTAACGTTTTAGAAAATTCTGTTACTGCTTTATAATTTTCTCTATGCCAAAACCAAGGCTTTACATGAGATCTTGTAAATACTCGTGAGCCTAATAAAGTCTCTGATTTTGTGGTAATAACCAAATATTTTGCAGCCCTTGCACGCAGACACCCATGCTAAAAATATTTCTGGAGCAATCTTCGGAAAGGTCACCATCTGTAATGGACATGAAGGTTGCCCGGTTCTCTCTCCCACCTTCAGCCCCACCTCCCTCGCTCCCACACCTTTCCCCAAGAGTTACATTCGGTGGGATCTGCAGATTTGTCTGCTGCTGTTCCAGGGGGAGGCCCGGGAGCTGTCGGGGCAGTGCTGGGTAGGCAGCGTTTCCTCAACAGACAGTCCCCAGAAACGTATGAGAGTGGCAGAAGAGTGTGAGGTGGGACCTGCTTCTGCTCTAATTCGGGAACACTTTGAAAATTATTCTATACCCATATGAAGCACTGATTTTGACAACGTGGAAGGAAGAAGTTGAGTGCTGTTCTATTTTTAAAAACAAGAAAGAAAAAATCACTGCTTTCAGTAAATCTGGTGAGAACATATGTTCACTAGATCTGCAGGTTTTGAATTTATTTGCAGTATCTTAATCCTTACATTTTGGGGTTCGTTTTACCTTCATCTACCTCCAGTAGATTTAAAGAGGGGAATTATGTGAACAAAAGCAGGTATTTAAGTTTTACAACCACCGACAGAAATTATATTTAGTTCCTCTAAGCTTTTTACACTAAAGCTAACAAGTCTTTGTGTAAGAAACAATGCAGGTCTTCTCAAGCTTGTAAATTATTTATTCTGTTACAGAGTTCTTGATTTAAGAAGAAATTATTTCTCTGTGTAACCGAAGTTTACACCGTAATACTCTATATAATTTCAGAGTTAGAAATACCTGAATAATTTTACATCTTTACCGACTGTGTCTTAGACATTGTACTGGTCCAAGGATAATTTTTTGTATACGTTTTTATAAATCTATAATTAGTTTGAAAATACAGCCTGGACTACTGAAAGATGTGTTCAGACAGTCAATCTCTGGATGCGTATCCTTCAGTATGTATACTGACAAAGCCATTTGCATTAATTTGTGCTGTGCACAAGTTCTTCTAAAATGTAGATAGACTGCAAAGACTCTTACAGTTAGAAAACAACAACTGAATTAGAAGCCTGTACGACAACAATATTTGGGATGATACTGATGTAAATATAGCATGTTAGAATGAACAAAGGAACCATGTCTGATAATACAAAGGACTCCTTAAGGAGAGGAGCAGATCTGCAAGAGAAAGTTAACAGTGTCATTAAAACAGTACGTTATAAATACAGTGTGTTGCTGGAATGTATAAGCTGTGGAGGTCACTTAAGTGACATGATTTTTTTTCATATATTCAAGAACTCTCCTTTGAGATTTACCTGTTGTGTCTAACAAATAAAGTATCTTGAACTTTGTCATATGGTTCAAAATATTAAATCCAGGATGCTTGTGTAATTGTGGGATAAATAGATCTTTGTATGTATCGTTTCTTTGGATACCATGTGTAGGGTGGGAATAAATTTTTAATCACTTGACTGATAGCTGTTTATTGCATGGGAGAGCAGTTGTTCTTGTCTTTTTTCATCTTCTGCTTGAATTGCATACACTTTGGGGGTCTAGGTGTGTATAAGATGCTCTCCCAGTGGTACTGGGGAGGAGGGCAGGAGCAAAACCAAGTTAACTGTTATGATGCCAGAATAGGGTCACTCTGGCAGCAGCCGACTCCTTCCTTCACAGGCAAGTGTATGTAGAGTTTTATGTTAGGGGGACTGAATCTTTCTTCAGGAGGTTGTCAAACAACAAAGAGAAGGAAGGGGTAAGAGAGACTTTCAGTTTAGATGCTTTTACTGCAAGCACTGTGATAATTTACTTAGCCAAACTTTTAAAACTTGAGGTAAAAGTAGAGTTTAATAAAAATTACTGATACTTACCTGGTGGGAGATTTGCATATTCTGGTTTTTACTATATCACTTCAGTATGTTTTCCTGCTAATTATATGTATTTCATTCAGTTTGGGCTTTCCTGAAAGAGAAATCAGAGACTTGGCATCTTTAACACCCTGTATGTGCCATTGCAACTGCAGCCGTACTGTACGAACTCCAGTGTTTACTTTCTGCTTTTCATTTTACTTCATAGTCTGCATATGACTAAACTGTGGTAACAAGATGGACCTTGGTCCTTTTCTGCCATCAAGTGCTTTGCTGCTTATTTTAGCATTCTTTACGTTAAAAAACTACCACTGATATAGTTCCAGTGGAAAAGCGAGCGTAGGTACCAGGGTGGCATTTAAAAACTAGAGCAGATCCGGATGATTCTGATTAAAATACGAGTGATGAGTTGTGAGTTATGTTTTCTAGCCTTGTCCCTGAAAACACTTTAGAACAACATACAGGAGTTTTTCTCATTTTCCCCAAAGGAACAGGACATACGCCTTCACTTAAAGATACTCAGTTAAAAGCTTTGTGTTACCTTTAACTTTGGTAACTCGGTACTTGTTTGACAGATTTTGCATCTGGTTTTGCACAACTTGCTAAGTTCTTGCAGGCTCTAGGGGCACTGTGCCAAAGGAGTTTTCCTGTTGATGGGTGAACAGCTACTCTCTCAGGCTTGAGGCTGAAGGAGAGCAGTTTGCTGCTGTTAACATGTATGAAAAGGAGGTTTGTGTTGCAGGAAGTCTACCTTCAAGACAGAGCTGCA